GTGTGGGAGCCTGCAATCACACCCACAGGCTTATTCAGCCAGAAGAGAAGCCTTGGTGGCGAGGTGGTGGTCTCCAAATAGCTGAAGAGCCATCCAGTGGATGATGGATTAGCAGTGCACTGGGTGGTCTCAGGGGGTCAGAAAGAGCCAGGATTGATGACTACAAGGTCCAGGGAAACAGATTTCAGCTCAAGAATTGGAACAGCTTTCGCACTGCCAGGGAAAATGGATTGCTCCAGGTGGCAGTGAGCACTGCGAATGAGAATTGAAGCGAGGGCAGAGCTGCACAGGCTCTCGGGGGTGGAGAGGAGCAGAGTCACTGAGGAGCATTTACCCTAAAGGGGCTTGAAGGTTTCTCCACCCCAACTGAATTTTTCTGGCTTTAACCCTCTTAGTAGGGGCCGTCCCCTGCCCCAGGAATCTGTCCCTGAAGCTTATTCTGTAACGAGAGCCTTGTCACACACTGTCCGCTGTGTCTGCAACAGTCTACACTGCTCTGCTCCCTCGGGCACGGTTGATGTAGGCCTTCCTACACAGGCTTCAGCACTTAGCTCATCCTCGGGGAAGCCTTGTCCATCCAAATGAACATCTCCACAGGTTCCACGTCCATATGGGGATCATCTCCATGTGTTTGCCCGGACCACTGCTTTTCTTCCACTTAGAATAACTTTAACTGGTTTTTGTTGTGTTTTGTATTTCTACATTATCAAGAAATCTTGGTGGCACAGTGGTTATGGTTCTTCATTGCTAACCAAAACGCTGGCAGATCAGTGGCTCCATGGAAGAGATCTGGCAATCTCCACCCATAAAGAGTGTGGAGGCAATTCTGCTCCACTCTACATGATCACTGTGAGTCAAAATCAACTAGATGACACACAACGGAAAGCCACACCAACAGGAAGGCCGTAATGGTATAGTGTCCCCAGATAGCATAAGTTGTTTACCTTTCACAACACAAAGATGAGTTCAAACCCACCCAGTGGTAACGCAGAAGAAAGAATTGGAGATCTGCTTCTGTGAAGACTCTAACCACTCTAACCAAAAGCATCCCAACCGTACTCTATCACACGGTCTGCCAAGTTGGACTTGACTTGATAGCAATGGGTTTGGGTTTTGTTTGGCTGCTGGGTGTGTGATGGGTAGGGAGTGCTAGTGGTAGGATTCTTGCTTTCCATGTGGGAGACTTGATTTAGATTCTTGGCTAGTTTACCGCACATGCAGCTACCATTCATGT